GAGAGAGAGAGAGAATATGGTTCGCCGATTAATCGCGGATAATTTTGAACGTCGATAAGACGTATAAATGGGGTGGTGATCGAGTCCCAGCACGTCCGTCGGATTCCTTTTTACACCCTCGGGATAACAAAGACTGCGATTGTAACTATAGCATTCGCGCGGACCACACGTGGAGAAGAAAGGCGAACGGTCTCGTTCCGAGTGGATTTTATGTGATATATATACGTACATATGTGCATATGTGTATTTTATTAAGTGAAAAACGCGAAAGCGAATCGGAAAGGGTGGGAGAGAGGATTCGGGAGAGAGTTCGAGATTGTGCGGATCTCGTTGGCGCGCAGCCGTTCAGAGTCTGTTACTTATACATAAAGAATACGTATATCCGGCGAGAGAGAAAGAGAGAGAGAGAATATAAAATATATATATATATATATATATATATAGAAATGGATGTCTTTTAACGGAGGATGTATATGTCGAATACCTATCGAAACTTCAATAGACAACCGTGAAAAATATCACACTCAAGCACGTTCGATTGTTTCGTACATAAGTTGCCACCGATTTATAACTTTATAATTATTTGTAAACGAATCTTCGCAGACAAGCACACGAGGGGGGGAGGGTGAGAGGAGATTCCCCTCCCCCTTGTCCGAACGTACACGCACTACGGCCTACGGTAACTGTAAAAAGTTGGAGAAAGATCTGTTTATACTCACGATGTTTAATATGCATTTAACAATCCACGAGCGACACCGCCGGTACACAACCGAGATCAGCTATTGTACGGAAGATGTAGCGATAGAAAGTTAGGGGAGGGTCCCAAGAGAAACCAACGGTATCTCACGAATCCGCGCCATGCCCAATTAAATAAATCCGACGAGAGCACGACGAGAAAGAGATACGCGAAGCCAATACGTAAAAACGACAGTCGAGACTGCCAAACAAGTACCAAACGAGAACAATTCCTTCTTTTCTCTCATCCTTTTCCTTAACTCTTTCGCTATGGCATTTAAAAGCAGAAAAGGATATCGACCGCGCATTCGGAATATCAAATTGTTTCGGCGATGTGTTTTCCGATGTGAGATAAAAATCGGCTCGATAATGAAAGAATCTCCTCCCTGGAAAGGTAGAATGTCAAATTAATAATTTAGTAATCAAATAGCAATCAAGCAGTCGCAGGACAGATCTGAGAGTCTTATTAACTATTAATCGATGTATTTTTATCTGTATAAATAAGAGGAGAGAAACGGCGAGAGTATTATTACCTTCTGAAAGTGCACGAGAATAATGCAGATATTAATTATGATAATTAATTAATGTATTTTCATTTGTACATAAATGAGAGAACTATATATCATTATTTCCTGAAGGTGCACGGGAATAATGCAGGTATCGATTCTGAATGGGCTGCAGCTAGTATGGAGTATTACTGTCACAGGGATCCGGCGAATTATACCAGTAGCGAAAGAGTTAATCTCCGAGCATAGCGACCGCACTGCCTTCGATAGAACTTTTAACAAATCGATTACTCTGACCATCGCTCGGGTGTAAAAAAGATAATTTGCGCCGAGAGAGAGAGAGAGAGAGAGAGAGAGAGAGAGAGAGACGACGCGTGAGAAGTAATAAAGAGAACGACGTAACTAAATTAATTAAAAATTAAAAAATTAAAAAAAATTAAAATTAAAAAAGTTAAAAAAAAATAAACTAAAAAAACTTAAACGAACGTACCTTTACGTTTACGTTTTACGTTCCTTAACGGTTTCCTAGTTACGAACCGTCACGCGTAGACACTCCGTTCGCGGTACGGAGCGACGCACTAGTTATTAATAAATTAAAATTATAGAGCGACGAAAACGACACACGCAAAGAGAACGAACGAAACCGAAACAACGACGACTGTAGTATACGTCGTACTAACTAACTAACTATTAACGTACACTAACAAACCAACACAACCAACAACACACACACACACACACACACACACACACACACACACACACACACACACACACACAGAGAGAGAGAGAGAGAGAGAGAGAGAAAAGACACACACACACACACCGATACGTATCTCAACGAAGAAAAGAAAAGAAGAGAAAAAGAAATGGAACAAAAGACAGAGAAATTTTAGAGAGGTTTAAACGGATATAATGATTGCGATATCAGTCATTATGTACGATAGTATTACTCGTTTTTTTATCTGTACGCTTCATTCGAGAAGAATTGTCCGTGCTTAAGAACATATACGTCTAATAAATAGTTTGCGAGAAATTTGCAACTGGTCACAAATCAGCCAAGTTTTCACTTACCAGCGAGTCACCGTAGGCCTTCGCCGCTTATTAACGGGAACGAACGACGCAATGACTCGACGACCGCGGTTAATAATAAGCTGGCGTAAATGCGATGACTAAATTTATTGCGGGGCACTATTAAGTATCCTATCGTCGTCATTCTCGAACCCCCCTTAATAGTCATTTGTGCAATTACTTCTTTTTTTAAATCGAGATGAATTATTAATTGTATACATTTGACAGAGGCTTGTGTCTTTCTTATTTATACAAAAATAAGTCGGCTATTAGTGATAAAAAGCACACTGAGACAGTTACATTAAAAATTATTCTCATTTTTATCCAAGACATTGATTTTTTGCAGTTTATAAATAAAAACACTTTATTTATTTATATGACGATGAAACAGAGTGCGCGAGAAATATTGTCACGATTAAACGTGGGAAAAGTGAGTCTTTTTCGTTTTACGTAAAGGTAAAAATAATACCTTTTCTTGTTCTCGAAATGACATTTACTGCAGTCGATTGATTACGATTATACGTAATACTTGAATCTACATGTGATTTTTCGTTACTATTAAAGATCAAATTCTTAAAAAAGGCACGTTTGCGGAAACGAAATATTGGCGAAAATCGGCGACGATTTTTCGTTGCTTGAAATCAAATATATTTATGAATGCAAGATTTTCAGGTAAGTACTGTTTAAGTATACACGCGAATAACATAATTAAACGTGACTTATAAATCGTGTGACATGCGGGATCGCAGGAATGGACGAAGGTGCGGTCATTTCCTTGCCTATTTTTTCTCTCTCTTTTTTTTTTACAAAAATAAGATTTTATTTATAAACGAACTGTTTGACAGTAGTCAAAAGATGAACATCCAGAGATGTAGATCCGACATTGGCGATCGCGAGAATCTCAATGACATAACTTACTTGACTTAATGACACTCATGCGTTTTGGCAAATACTTCGCTTACTTAAATCTTTTTCGCTTTTTTGGCTTCTTTTACATTTTCCTTTTTTGGTTTTGATATTTGATTAGAAACACTTAGACGGTGATAGTGAAATCCTTGGGCGATTTGGAGAGCGAGCTGTTCGAGTGGAGTCCGCTCGGTCGTTTCCTATGTAGCTTCAGCTTCATATCGATGTCGCACTCGGCTTCACTGGTCTCGTGGACGTCGGTGAAGCCGCTCGGTGGCTTCAATTCCAACGTAGACAGCTCGCTGCCCCAATCGTCGTCCCTCCTCATCATTCTGAACGTGCCCGCCGGCTCCTCCAGGAGGCAGAGCGACTCGACGGACTTCCTGGTGCTCGCCGGCTCCTTCTCCAGCCTGTCGTAGAAACCAGGACGCACCGGACGACTCGGCGACGCTCCTCGCGAGTACGAATGCACTCCGGACTCCGATAGCTTCAACACTGGTCGCAGTATACCGGGAATGCGACCGTCGATCGCGACGTCGATCGCACCGCGACTCCTGCAAAAATCGATCGTTATTGCGTTTACCGAGTCACTTCTCGATTGATATAAGTGATTTAATTGATGATGATGTGACAAATGTGTCGAAAATATTTGTTTTCACGTCAATGCATAATTTAAAGAAATTAATCTTAAATCAAAGAAAATATTCTTATATCACAAATAATATAATTGATTCAAAGATAGTGATAGTCGAAAATATTTGCCATCATTTGTCAGTGCATAATTTAAACCGTGTTATGTATAAAAAAGAAATTAATTAAGAAAATATTCTCGTATATAAGCAAGAATATTATAATCTTAAAATTTTAATCTAAATTTTGATCGACGCAATCACTTTTGTAAAATTCAAGAAGATTGAAAATCTTCTACATGAAGATTATAATATTCTTGCTTGTACATAAGAATATAGATTCTTGATTTAGAAATAATTTTTTTTCTGTGCATGTTGAAATTTAATTCTCCTCTTAATTCCTACATATTTAATTTCTTGTTTCTTATTTCTTTTATCGTGTCTGGGCTCAAATAGCTTTAATTTTTCTAAGAAGATTATAATGTTCACGCTTATATATGAGAATATATAAACTGATATTCATACTAGATTTTTATTTTAAGACCGTCTTAAGTAATGTCTTAAGACGGTCTTAATACGACTCTGTGATTGATCGATATAACTTCTTAAGACAATACTACTTAAGACAGTCTTAAATATAAAATTTGAACTACGAATACCGGCCATAGTCTCGATTTAAGACCAATTTTTTTTTTTTTTCCATGTAGATTCTCCCAATAATCGATCGTATAATGCTAACTATAACGATGCTACCGGCGAAATACGCACCGTTGCTTTTCGAGCCTCGGGAAAGTCTTTCTCTCAGAAATTGGTGACGGCTCGGTTGATGTACTTGATTCGTGCGTGTGGTACAGCACATCTGGAAAGACGTACGCGAGACGTTGGCGCGGGAAGCAGATTAGTGGTTGCGCGGTTTCATTTCACATGATTGGGCTGCGATACACGCCGCCCGGACACAGAAAACCGAATACTAACTTACTATGATGAACCGGTCGCTGCACCAGGGCGAGCCGCTGCTCCCGCTGATTCATAGAGTTCGGCCCCGGCGAGCGGGCCATTATCGACGTCGGGCCGGAGTCGTCCAGATGATTCGACGACTCGGTACGACTGCTGGTGCCGACCTCGGTGTCGCTGTCCGAGCCCAGGGTGTCGTACTCCTCCGACTCCGACTTGAACGACTTCGACTTGCGCCGCGCTCGACCACGTACCTTCGTGTACTGGTCCACGTCGCACTGCAAAAATCGATTTGTCGTGTGTGGGCGACTCTTGGCGACTTTCGAACTAACGAACGATTACTTTCGAAAATAACTTTTTCGCGAAAACATCGTGAACAATAGCAACACTTTTCCTTTTATTTTCGCGACCACTCGATTGTAAAAGGTTGGCAGAGCGAAAATCAACGTAATATAATTAGTGGAAAAAAGATGGTATTTTTCTGATGACTAATGTAGAATCTTCTCGCAATCATTATTAAATATCTTCACCTTTTGTATGGCTTCTTTCGTTTCATATCTCATGGTAAATTATTCCCGTTTTACAGGACTGCGCCTCTTGTATTCTTGTGCTTCAAATTGTAATTAAATTCGAACGCCGTAATTGAATGCAGTAATTGAATAATGTCGGCAATTCTAATTTCAAGTTCTCCATATATACAATGTAGAATAATTTACTCCTTCTTTTAAGTATTGACGCAAAAGAAACGTAATTACTCCTATTGCATTTTAACTTCGTTAATGAGATTACTTTTCAGTCACAGTGACTTTATCCGAGGTAGACATCTGGACGCGAGTTCAGAAATCTTTTATCAACTTGCGGACATCACAATTTACGGAGAGAGAGAGAGAGAGAGAAAGAGAGAGAGAGAAAGGTGTCAAAAGAATCATAAGATGGATCGTAAGCGGAGCACCGTAAACCGCGTTGTGAGAAATAAACGTACTTGAGCGCCTTGCAGCATCGTCTCGCTGCGTTCGTAGAAGAACGCCTGTCTCATGGGATTCGCCGAAAGATTTTCCTGCTCGGGCAGATTGAAGGTGGCATACGGATAAATGTCTTCCGAATACTCGGGTATTCGTTCCAGGGCGCTCACCTCGCGGCAGGGCGACTGCTGTCCCGGCTTCCTCACGGTGGCGTAGTACTGTTCCCTCTGCTCCATATTATGCTTGTTGTCCAGGGCGACCTGCGTCTGCGAGCTCGGGTCGTTCGCGCCTCCGGATCCCTCCGGATCTGAAAATTCGAGTTGGCGAACTCTCGACGATCACCAATCATCGTGACACAGAGACAGAGAAAGAGAAATCATGGCTGCGTTTCCGCATTCGACGCTCACACGTCGTAAGCTTCATTCCATCTTCCATTCCATCTTCCTCCCGCAACGAGTAAGATAAAGATAGAATAAAGCTCGCAGCGTGAGCGTCCAAACAAAATGGCAGTCTATATAATATGTACCCCTATATGTAAAAAAAAAAAAAAAAAAAAAAAATAGTATAATTGTATGATCCCCCGAGTTTAGTTTTGCCTCATTTTCCAAAGATCAATCAAAGAAGCATGAGAATTATTAAAGTGAAGAAGCACCACGTGCGTATCCGCGCGTATGAGAAAGAAATAAAATTCCATCATCGCGTAGACACGCTAAGCGCATTCTCTCGCGACTGTAAAATAAAGTCGTTTACGTAGAAGCGTGTTGAAGATAATAACGAAGAAACTACTAACTCAAATGGATTACGAGCGAGCATTTCTCGAACACCGGTATTTCTTGAATGATTTATTCACGGCGAGATATTCTCGTTTCAGTAACCGACGAAGTTATCTGGAGCAACGTCCCGGCAACGTGATTCGTTTATGAAGTTTTTAATTAAACTAAACGCTCGCGGCGGATATCGCGGACCGCTGCTGTTGACATTGTACCTGATATCGAGGGTAGTTGACGAAAAAAATAAAACATCGGACAGTCCCCACCCCCCTCTCCTCCCTTCGCTCCTCCCTCTGTTCCAATTCGCGGCGGAACTGTTACAATGTGTACCAAGTGGAATATACGCGAAAATAAACGGTATCCGACAGATTTTTTTTTCCAACCGAATCTCGCCGAAGTCCGCGCACGCACGCTCGCTCGTTCGCTCGCTCGCTCGGAGCGGTAAATTGATAGAGCGGCGCTCGATTGGCTCGTATACTCACGTGTCTTGAGGCAGAAGCACACTCCGGCGATCGCCAGCATCACAGCGAGAACGGAGATGACGCTGGGCGCCAAAACGTGCGCGTCGAGATAGAGCGGAGTGGTCTCGCTCTCCTGCGGATGATCCTCGTGCAAGCGGTTGTTTCCGTTCTGTGACAGCGTGCTGAACAGGTACTCAGCCTGGGTGGAACCGGCGTTGTTGTAAGCCGTCACGCGGACCTCGTAGCTGGTGCCGCTATCCAGATCCACGATGGGGAATTTCGACTGCGGCGGCACGTTGTTGGAGACTGCAACGCGCAATCGATCAAATCTGATTAATAATCGGCGTACGCCGATCGACCACTCCGAAGCAATCGCAACAATTTTCTTTTTCTTTTTTTTTTTTAATGAAACATTGCCACCATCATCGATAAATTAATTTCTTTCAAATTAATCGTCAACGTGTTACGTATAATTGATATTGCGATAGATATCGCACTAAGCGACCGTCTTACGACGGAAAATAAATACAATCGGCATCTCGGGGAGGAAACTCCTTGGATATCGATTTTCGAATTGATTCGACGCGATCGACATCACGCCTCGGAGAATTATCGGGCCTTACTTCTCCGGTTCTCCGACTGACTTCGACTTTCCGGTAAGAGTTCTTACCGAGCAGCCAATCCCCGGGCAGTCTCCTATACTCAACGACAAAGTAGGTCAACGGGCAGCCGCCGTCCTGCCAGGCTGCCAATTCTAGAATAACGAACGTTTGATTCGGCTTGACAAAGTGATGCTTCAGCGGCGGGATCGGCTTCGAGCCGTTGGTCTTCGCCGTCTGTATGTCGCTCGCGCTGCCGCTCCCGATCCTGTTGAACGCCGCCAGGGTGAATTGATATCGCGTGCCGCACTGCAGGCCCTCGAGGAGATGCGTGCTCTCACGTCGGTCCAGCATCACCTCCTCCCATTCGGCGAATTCCCGACGATAAGCCAGGAGAAATCCCTTAATAGGTGCGCCGCCGTTGTCGCCCTGCTTCCACTGCAGTTGGATGGCGTCGGTCGTCGTGCCGGTCGCCAACAGAGTCGGCGACGTCGGCGGTACTATGCATAAAGTTTACCAATTAGAACTTGGCTCGTGCACGGCTCGAGAGACGGCGAAGCACCGCCCGACAACTCGCTCTCTGAGCGCGCGATACGTCTCTCTCTCCTCCCCCCTCCTCTCTCTCTGTCGCGCATGAATAAGAATTCATAGGAGTTATCCCCCGTAAGACCCACTCCCGCACGCGAGTCTGTGCAGAAACGCAGCTTGTTCGCTTCCTTCGAGGAAGTGCCTTTAATCGACATTACGTAATACGTTTAATGAAAATTAAAATAATTCTAAAATTCGTTAAGTTACGCCCTCCTCCCCTCCCCCCCCCTCCCAAGTTCAGCTGTGTTTCCATTAGGAAGTTTCGCAGTACAACGCCTTCCGTTAGAAAGATTCTAGTGTAAACTTTAATCAAATTAACCTCGCGCGAGAAGATGTTGCGATCCTCACCTTCGCGACGGAAGATGAAATTTCGCACGCGGCGCGTGCGTTTATCATGAAAGCGTGACTCGCGGGGGGGGCGGGAGGGGATCTTAATGATTTCGTTTACCGAAAGGTGCGACCTACCTTGTACATGCAGCGTGTACGTAATTTCGTCCGTGCCGAGCGAATTCTTCGCATGGCACGAATAATTGTCCTCGTGACTCCTCTGCACGTTTCTCAGAGTCAAGGTATTGTCCGGCCCCACGTCGGATCTGCGGGGAAAAAAAAAGAAAAGACCGCTCCGTGAAACGTGGCTCGTCCCATCAACGCTGCGTTTGTTCCGCGCGCGGCGTCTCGTTTGCACTTACTTCTGCTGCAATTTCATGTCGGCGCGCCGCCACTCGACGCTCGGTCGAGGATCGCCGACGACGAGGCAACGCATTTCAATGTCCATTCGCCACGGCACCACGATGGGAACGCCGTACGATATTATGGCAGCTGGAACTAATTAAAGGACTCCCGTTTACGAGTTTCCATTCGTGCCATTTACGCTCTGTAATATTCCCGCAAATGTGGGTATTATCGAAAAGTCGCCTTGCACTAGTCGCGCGCTTACGTTCGTTATTGATCGGTGCCCGCTTCATGTCAAAGAGCATTTTCCTTTATGGAATATAGACTATCATTCCCGCGAAGCTGTATTCTCCCGTGTATTCGACGTGCGCTTCAGCGGTCGTGCAATTTCCTCGAAACTCGACGAAAATGAAAAGTTTCTATATCGGGCGCACGTTCGCGCGGGGTCGTCCGGACGCGCGGCGGAGGTTTTTACCCCGCGAGAGAGAAATTTTTCAATAATCCGTCGAGGAGTGACCTTACCGGTAGTGCTGGGCTGAAGTTTGATAACCGGCGTGCTGGAGCCCTGACCGACCTTAGTCGAGGCCGTGACCCACGCCTCATAGGTCTCGTGCATCTTCAAGCCCGTCGCCTCGTGATGCGTGTTCTCCGCGGGCAGAATATTCTTCGTGATCTTCACCTCCTGGCCTTGCTCCAGCACGCGAATGTAGACGGTGTACTGGATGAGCAGCCCGTTCGGTCGTCGGGGTGGCAACCAGGATATCACGACGGCGTTCTCGCCGCTCACCACCGCCTTCACGCGTTCCGGCGCGTCGGGAACTGTCGGGACAAAGCGCCATTCTTTGCTCATCAATGATTTTACAAAGGAGATATGTTTGGAAGAACAAGTCGAATCTCGTGACTGTACCTCGTGACTTTTGCATTAAACACACACAATTAAACTTAAATTTTACAAATTATGAATTGTGTTTATTCCGCCTTGATCCGATCGAACGATCTATTCGGGGAATACTCCTGGCTTTAAATATATGCTACGCGTCGAACATAAGTTATATATGTAGGGTATCTGTAATGTATGTTTAAGGTATGTTTAAGGTGCCGAACTTTGTCAGTACATTCTATGGGTCTAGAGGAGAAAAAAATGTTATGTAAACATAGGTATTGTTTAACGGTTTATTAAAAAGTTATAAACAAAAGTACGAAATTATAAAGAAACAGTTAAGAATAGCGATACGTAGCTTTATGCATTGTATTTATTATCACCACTCATCAAATTAATTACAGTTTTTGCTGAATATCAATTATTACAATATAGTTATCATTACTGATATTAATTTTTATGTACATTCATAGATATTTCATTTCAAAATGGCCATCATCGTTAGCAATACAAGATTGACGGCGATTGAAAATGGAATTTATCACTGTACTGAAGTTTATTTGTATTTTGTTTCATTGCTGTAAATTAACTTTTTTTTGCATCAGTACAATTGTCCCATTTAAATTTCATACTTTTGCTTATAACTTTTTAATAAAGCGGTAAACAACCTACGTTCGTATAACATTTTTTACTCCTCTAGACCCATGGAATGTACTGACAAAGGCATCTTCAGCCTGGGGGCACCCTAATAGAAGATCGGTGAGAATTGTGATCTAAGGGATGTTTACCGGTTTCCCCGGTGGTGCAGGAGACCGCGCTGCTCGCGACGCCGTCCCCAGCCTTGGTGTAGGCGAGCACCTGCACCGTGTAGTTGGTGTACGGGGTGAGGGTGTGCAGGACCGTGCTGAGAGCATGACTGACTTTCGTCTCTCTGCCGGTCTGCGAGTCCGAGGCAGCCTCGTACAGCAGCTTGTATCCCAGCACGACCCCGTGAACTTTGTCGAAAGGCGGTGTTTTCCAGGTCACCTGGATGTTCTGACCATTCAGCGCGGCGCAGGCTACATTCTGCGGTGGCGCACTTGGAACTATGTCAAATCGGTACCGTAAATCGCTATAGCGTATTGCTCTCCCTTTGACGTGTCGAAAAACGCCGGTCTCGAATTTATGTTATCGGCACGGCCCAAACGGCGAGAGTTCGCAACGAACCACCCGCGGGGTGACGGGTTGTTTTTTTGAAAATTATATAAGAAAATCACGAGAAAATTGCGAGAAAATTAATCCGGAGTTTATACGATTCCAGAAAAAATCCTATTCTTTTAATAATCAAGTTTGCTTCTATTTGCCTATTCTCTTTGTTTTTACCATTGCGGTAGAAATTGTTTGAAACATTTGATCAACTTTGCGAATAACCGATTTAAAACGTAATCAACACACCAGGTTGGGGAGAAGATATGAAATTATAACGGCGTAAGAGAATTTTGATTTCAAAAATTGTATGATGTAGACCAAAACATGCAACCTTTGGTGAAATTTAGGTCGTCGCGCGATATTGAAAAATTTTACAAGAAATTATTATTATTAATGTTAATATTTTGTAACAATTCAGCGTTTGTGTGGCGGAAAAGCTCATTCTATAATCCAATATCGTTACGCAAATGATTGTTGGTTGTTCAACGTTATGCATTATAGATCGTATATAACGTTTGTATACCAATACGCTGTGTATATGACAAACTTTAAATTATGATATTAATTTGTAATATGAAACTTGATCTCATCATTTGCAATTCTCAATTACATTTAGCTCGTAATCAAAATGCAAAGAGATTGCATTCAAAGCGGCACGTCGTAATTGCTTTGTTCAACGTACCAAATATTTTTATCAACACCGAAATGCCGCCGAAAAGAGCTCAATAAAATATGGGGAAAGGAGAAGGGAAGAGGGGGGGGGGAGGGTAAAGAGACTCACCATCCTCCAATGTGTGCGCCGTCACGGGATCGGATCCCGGGCCGTCTCCTTTGCTATTGAACGCCTTTACAACTATGCTATATTGGGTATATTTTCGTAGGCCGGTTAGCCTGTAATCGTGCGAGCCGTCCCCATTTCCTGTGATTCCTACTCGCGTCGTATTCGTCAATTGATCATCTCCTCTGAAATAAAGCCGCGAACTACGGTTCGCTGAAGCGAAAAGATAATGCGAGAAGCGCGGAGGCAATCGACAGCGCTGAAATCTATGTCGTTGACCGCGAGAACTCGAAGGGCGTGTCAAGAAAGAGAAACAAGTTATTAAACCGCTTTCTAAATAATCTACCATAGAAAGTTTTATATTTTTTTTTTTTTTTTTCTAAAGGAACAAGAGAATCATTCTCTTCTGAGTTTTAAATTCTTATAGAGACGAATGTCGGTCTCCGGGTCGAGCGACTTCACGCGAAGCGTTAACAGCATAACAAATGGATAGTACACTTTAAAATATATAAACCATCTTTTCTTCTCTTATACATCCTATTGTTCGCGAGTTTATGCTGTCTAAGAACGGGGAAATCCTTAGCGTCAAAGTCGCCGTCGCCAAAGTTTACCGGAAATCGTCCTTATCGTTCCCATTTATTACGTTCCGCTGTCCAATTCGAGCATAATGGAAGGAAATAACAATCTCAAAATTCAGTGGAATATAACCACGGACAGAAGCGCGGACGAGAATATTTTAAGAATTCACGATACCATCTGAAAACTTGGGCCGTCAAAGTATAATCCAATTATTCCGATTTGAAATGTCATAAAGCAAAATTTTTATGAATGATTCGAGAAATTTCACGAACGAAATTTTTGTCATATCTATTTTTCGATTTGAAATACAAACTCTACCACGAACATTTATTACATTTATTATTTATAAACATTTCAGTCCATCTCTTGTGTATATAAAAAAAAAACCAAAAAAGCATTCTTTTAGCTTGACAATTTAAAAAATTTTGTTAAGAAGAAGGTAAAAGCACACATTTTATCATTTTTCAGAAACAATGCAATTCACGATGAGAAATTAACCACGTTTTTTGACGTGAAACCTCTTTCCACGAGGAGTCATAAGTCATACAATAGGCATTCCTTAATCTTCAATCGTTTCGAAACGTCTTTTCCCATAAAATTATTATTATGAAGAATATATTAAAAATTTACTATCAAATTTACATACATAACATTTAATACGTAACATGTTTCAACGGCCCGGTCTGAATTTGCTGTTACGTGCTGCTATCGGAGGGATCATCGCGATCATCGTTTGAGATTTCGGACTCGAAGTGATGGACGTTAAATGCCGCAAACTGTCGTGGTTCAAGAACGGTAAGCAGATAACGATACCCGAGATTGGTGTAGCCGATGGTGTATCCGAGTAGTTCGCCGTTCCAGAGAGATCGATCCGGCGGTTGCCACGTGATCTTGAGCTGCTGCGGGCCCAGGGGCTCCACGGAGACGTGCCTGGGCGGTCCACCGGGCACTTCGCCATCCGTTTGCACCTGTTTTGAAAATTTCGAGACGCCCCCACGGCGCACGGTAAAAAAAACAATCCGTCTGACGTTAACTTTAAATGCACGTTAATGACCTCGTGAGATAATGTGAGTAAGTTTTCTTTCATGCTTTGTGTGTCTTTTTTTTTTTTTTTTTTTTTTTTCTTTATCTTGTGTTTTTCGACAATGTGTTTGATACTGACATGAAGGATGTCGCTTGGCGCTGATGTTCCAAGATGATTTTCCGCAAGCACTCGAAAGTGGTAGGTAGTCGCGGGTTTTAGGGACGATACCCGAGCGACCGTGTTGTCTCCGGCTACCAGCTTCTGCGTGTTGTGCTCATGCCACACGTCTTTCCAGCAAAAGGCAACAACGCTTAGAAGGATGCAGGTACGGTTTCTCTTAAGCGTAATCGCGAAGGCGAGTCTCGCGAGGCGAGATGTATCTTTCCCCTCCCTCCCACCCCCCCCCCGTCCCCCGTCGCGAAAATCCGGAC